CCATGTGCCAGCGCTGCCAGGCCCGATTCGCCCCCACAGAGCGCATCGTCAACAGCAATGGGGAACTCTATCATGAGCACTGCTTCGTGTGTGCACAGTGCTTCCGGCCTTTCCCCGAGGGGCTCTTCTATGAGGTGAGGAGGCTCTGGGCAGTAGCCTGTTCTTGAGCCTGTGGCTGCTGTGTGACCCGGCCAGGCAGGCTATGAGGCAGCAAAGCAGAGTTTCTCGAACTGTGTTGGCCCATCCCTCACCTGGGAACTTCTGGAGTCACTCTTCTTCAGCTGCCACCCCTAGACAGGTTCTGGGCAGAACCTGGGGTAAAAAGAACCCCGTCATCATGCTTGCCCTCCTTTGGGTCAGACAGCAAATGCAATGGCTGAGTGATTCCATCTCTGGTGAGGGCGTTTCATGGTTGGAGTTGGGTGAGCAGGTGATGTTTGATGAGGCCAGCAGAGAGGGACAGACAGACAGACAGACACACACACACACATACACACACACCCCTCTGCAGGAAAAGATCTTGGCAGAGGGCATGGCATATGTAAAGGTACTGAAGTAGAAGCACATGGGGTATTTGGGGAGAGGCTGGTGTGGTGCAAACAGAAGCAGGAAACAAGACGGAGACTGTCAGGAGGTAGACAGGGACTCTCCATCTTCTATCCTAGTGGTTCTCCTTTGGGATGTTGAGCTTTTCTGTGACAGATTGGAGCCACTTGGGTTTGGAACAGAGGAGTCACACCATGGTCCCACATGTGAAGAAAACCCCTCTGATTCAAGGCATGTGACATGTGCCTGCCCGACACACCAGATAGAGGGAGGCTATGCAATAAGACTGTCTCGAAAACAAAGTGGAAGAGAAAGGGAGGCTCCAGGCACTGTGCCATATGGAGGCTGTGAGCCAGTTGGGAGAGAAACTGGGAAACCAGGTGGGACCAGGAGTGGGGCTCTTGAGTCTTGAGACAGTCCAGATAAAACTTAAGGGCCCGGAGTTGCCCACACTAGCTCTCAAGAACAAGTAGCTAAGTCCTTTCTAAACACAGCTGTTGTTACAAAGTAACTCATGCATGGGTGGAGGAAATGCCTCCATCATTAGAGTGCTCGCCTGGCAATCAGTTTAATCCCCAGAAGCGATGTAAAAAAAACAGGGCGTACTGGTTTGTGCTGTAGTCCCAGCACTGGGAAAGCAAAGACAGGTGGATCCTTGAGGCTCACAGGCCAGTCAGTCAGTCCAGCCTCTCTGTGAGCCATAGGCTGATGAGAGACCCTGTCCCCAAGGGAGAGAGGCACTTATATACACATAAATAGTAAACCATATCAACATACAGGAGTATAGTACTTTATTAAAATGAAGATAACAGAGATACGATACAAAAGATACTTAAAATGTCCTACTTCTCATTGTTTCATTAGATTTCCATGTCCTTTGTGTGTCTGAGATTATTTCAGTCTGTGTGGTGCCATTTGTGACTTCAGCATAGTACCAGTCTGGCAGTAAGATTTACACCACAGCATCTGGCAGACCCAAAGTCAGGGCCTCTGTTGCCTCCCCCCAGAGTTGGTTAAACACTGACTGCACTCCACTGGGCTGCAGTGGAGGGAGGACCAGAGCTCAGAGGGGACTGTCCTCTCTGGTGGAGGGAGCAGCTGATGGCTGGTGTGAGTACGTGTCTCACATGTCAGATGAGGATCTCCTATTGCTCTCCAGGCTTCCGAGAGCTGCTGGGTGGCTGCAGAGGCAGCAGAGTGTTGGGGAGAGCTCTGCGAGGGGTTTTAGACCAGAACCAAGCAAAGCACAGAGTGGGTGTCTGGGAGATATTGCTGCTCAGGAAGGTCAAGCCTCTGCCGTCTCCCTGGCTCACTGGGGGAAGCTGTATGTGGCTTTTTTTTTAGGGAGTTATGGAGGATGACTTTGAACTTCTGCTCACTCCTGCCTCCATCTCCCAAGTGCACTACCACAGCCTGTTTGTGTAAGTCTGTGGCCTGAAACAAGGGCTTGCTACATGTTACACAAGTACTCTACAAACTGAGTACATCCCCAGACAGGTTTTTTTTTTTTTCTTTTTTAAAGAAGCAAATTGTTAAGGGAGAGGAAGGCAGAGGCAAGCTTTGGTCATGCTTGGGGATAACACACGGCAGTGGCTGACTGCAGCACTCCGGTGCTTTTCTTTGTCAACCCAATTCCCCAGGCCCTGCCTGTGTTCTTTCTTCCCGCTTCCCTCTGTGGGTCTTCTGTCATCTCTGGGGACACCGATCTGGTCAGACATGGAGGACAAAGTGGCACAAGTGATGCAGATTTGACTCATTCTTCCTCAGCCCAGCTCCCACCTCAGTTTCTCCTACTGTCACGGTCCTCAGCAGACCGCAGAATGCCCAAGAGTTGGCCTTCGACCCTCAGCATCTCTGTGAAACCCTCATTTTGCATTCTGATAAACTGCATGGGCTAGTCCCCTGCTCCAGCTAGTTTTAGAAGGCTCTTCCCCAGGCCCCAGGCCCCTGTTATTTATTAGGGGCAAGGGCTGTGTCGATGATGAATGACTTGCTTGTCTTTTGTCTGTGGCCCCATTTGCAGTTTGAGGGCCGGAAGTACTGCGAACATGACTTCCAAATGCTGTTTGCTCCATGCTGTGGATTCTGCGGTAAGAGCTGGTGACAGCACTTAGGAAGTGGGGAGGGGTCAAGTAGGGAACAGGCAATACTGGCACACTGGTATTCTTACCCATCACCTCATTCTACATTCTGAGCATTGCTCTTCAGGTCCCTAAAAGAGGGGTGCTTGGACAAGGCTGTACTGGGGGGAGCACCAGGCTACATAGGACTTGGGAGGTGCTGAAGGGTGGGGTGTGCTGTGACTGACATCTGAGATCTCTCCTCTTCTAGGTGAGTTTGTCATTGGACGCGTGATCAAGGCCATGAACACCAACTGGCATCCAGGCTGCTTCCGCTGTGAGCTGTGTGACGTGGAGCTGGCTGACCTGGGCTTTGTGAAGAATGCAGGCAGGTGAGGCAGCTGCAGTTGTGGACAGGGAGGAGGGTCTCTTGCCCCCACTCTAAGTTCCACGGTCCAGTTAAGTACCAGGCGCCTTCCAGGCTCTGCCAGCAACGTCCTTGTTCTACCCTTACTAGGTGGAGAACACAGTCTCCAGGGTATGTATAAGGATGGGGGCAGGAGAGTGACAACAGACAGGGCTTCCTCCGGGCAAGAGATGCTTCTTTGGGAATAGCAGCCATGAGTGGCCATGGAGGATGTGGAGTTTTAAGTTGGCAAATCCCTATTACCCCTGTCATCCTACCTGCTGCTAACGCACCGTGCTGACCCCAGATGTCTATCTTCCCCCCTGTACACACATGGCTGGAGAATGCTGGACAGATAGCCCTTAACCAGGTTGCCCAATTTACCCTAAATTCAGAATTGTAAACCTCATTGCTACTCTGGCAGTTCCCGTCCAAGAAGCTTTACTCTTTCTTCTCACCCCTGCCTCCCTCACTGTGGGTTCTACATCTCCCCTGCAGCCATGACCTCATCTCCCACCTGTGTGGGACAGCGTTGGGGGACCTCCCAGGAACACCTTTGTGCCCTGAAGTCCTTCTAAACAAAGCTGTTGGCCTCTACACCTCAGGTCAAGCTTAGATATCACCAGGTCCTCTCCTTGACCTCCAGCGGCCTCACAGCTTGACTAACCATTTCCTCTCCCTGTAAGGCCTCTGTTCTGTGCTCTTCCTCCAGCTTTTCTCTGCACAGAGGTTCTCTTTGGGCCCATGCTCATACCTGACCTTGAAGATAAGTCTTCTCAACAGCACATCTGGACAATATAGGGACCTTCCTCACGTCTCTCCTTTGCTCAATTCCCATGCCTGTGTGGCATCTCCATTTGAGATTCCGACACAACAGGTCCAAAAATAGAGCTGCAAGTTTCTCCTCCTCTGACCCAAGTCTGCTTCTGCATCTCCTGTTCCAGAAAAGGCGTTGCTGTCTTCCAGAAACTCTCCAGCTCCCCCACAAGACTATCCTTCTTGTCTGGGTACTTGGTTCTCTGTCAAAGCCCCTCTGTGACCTTTATCTCAGCCCACAGTGATCTTATTCCTTTGCTATGCCACTGGGGAGGCACATGACCTCGCTCTGGTCCTGGCATCTGTAAGGCATGGTCTTATATTCAGCAAGCTGTCTTGGTGAGGGACCACAAGGGTGGACTGACCTGTACTGGCGTGAAGCGATGTTGAACATCAGGGGCAGCAGTCTGGGCTGTGCTCTTTCTGAGATGAGCCATGAACGGGCCACTACCCCATGCTTTGGAACTCAAAATATAATAGACAGATATAGGGCTTTTCCATTGATGGGCAGGATACAGTTGGGGGGTTAAGTTGGAGAATCCTTCTAACCTAGAGTGGCCTGGAACTCCATGATGCATAGCTTCAGGTCTGCCTGGGGCAGACATGCCATGGGGCCACTAGAACCAACAATAAGGGAAGCATTGCCTTCCTTGGTCATTCTTGGGTGGAAGGGAAGAGAATTTCAGGGGGAGGACTGTCATGTGTCTTGCTGAACTAGCACAAAATTTTCCTTCATTTTAAGGCTTGATTATGTTTAAGAGTAGTACAAACAAGTACAAAAAAAGGATACATTAGTTTGGTCAACACATGCTGACAAGTCTAACAGTTCAAAGCCAGGCAGCTGAGGCTGGCAGAAGCCTCTTGGGAGGGAGTGGAGATGCCCCTTCTGGGCTTGAGTGAGCTGGAGGCAGGTTTACACACCTGGCTCCCTGCCCTGAGCAGGTGCTAATGGCTGTCCGTCTATGCCATATGCCTATCCAGGCCACCTTCTACTGAGAAACTCTAGACATTGTCAGGAGAGAGGCAGGCATGGGACATGGTTACAGCAGGAGAGGCCAGAGCTGTGTTTGCTGGGTTCACATGCAACCAGTCAGAAATGTACTCATGTGTGACTATCATAGAGTCTGTGTCCCCTAAACTTTGAAAGAGATCATCTCCCAAGGCTAGCAAGGGCACTGTAAGGAACACACGGCATACCATGCACTTCAAAGGAAAATTAGACACCCCTCTAGTTCCAATGAGATCTGTGCTGCCTCTTTTTCTGGATCTTGGGCCGCTTGCTCTCTGGGTTCCTCTGTAGGGCTTTGTTGCTGTGGGCGTCTGTGGTATGAAAGAAGATGGAAGTTCAGTAGGAAAGAAAGGTTCCCATTGTTCCAGAAATGTCCCTGTGGCTCTCTTCCCCATTTAGCACCAGTGAAGTCACTGAGTGTCTGGGAGCTGTAAATAAGGCAGCTAACCCAGTGCGTAGAAGGGTGGGCAGGGCATCCTGTAGTTAGTACTCCCTCTTGATGGGTTTTCAGACTGGATGGCCTTGCAGTTAAGACTTTGGAGCAGGGTGGGAAGTGCTGACATTTCAGTTTGTTTGCTCAGGAAGTGGCAAGGGAAGATAGGCTTCTTTAGCTGGTTCTGGTGGCATGTGTGCCATTGGATAGCTGCTCCTCCTACAACAGTCTACAGCTGGCCTGGTGACAGGGCCTACTTGAGGCTCACAGCTCCAGGCTCACAGCTCGGATCGGGCACTTAGGGAGCTCTCATTGGTTTTTCCTTCAAAGCTAGGAGGTGGTCCTGTGAGCCGTTTGCTGCAGAGCAAGTTGCACAAGGCATGGCGGAACTTCTCAGCCACAAAGAAGTACATGACAGGGTCCAGGGCCCCGTTGAGGCTGGTGAGACACGAGGTGATACGATTCCCTAGGGCCAGGGCCCGCTGAGCAGTGCATGAAATTCCACCACCGTGATAGTGAAGCACGTAGACTGAACGGTGGATGTGGTAGGGCACAAAGCAGATGAGGAAGATGGCCAGAACTATAGCAATCATGCGCACGGCTTTGTTCTTGAGGTGCTTCTCTATACGGGGACCCTGGCGCAGGCTGCGGATGATCAGCAGGTAGCAGGTGACTGTGGTGATGAATGGGAAGGTAAAAGCCACAGCCAGAGATGCCAGGGCATGATGGGAAGCCTTCTCCCGGTACAGTTGCAGGCAGACAACCGTGTGGTTGGTCTGCACTGTCTGTGGGCTGACTAGCAGTGGGGCCATAGCCACAGCCACCACCACCCACAGGAAGGCACAGGCCAGGTGGGCATAGAGAGGTCTTCGGAGCTTGAGGGACTTGACTGGGTGCACAATGGCCAGGAACCGGTCAGCGCTGATGCAGGTGAGGAAGTAGATGCTGGCATACATATTGAGGTAGAAGAGGAAGCCAGTGAGTCGGCATGGGATTTCCCCAAATGGCCAGTGATTTCCAGAGAAGTGATAAACCAGCCGGGTAGGCAGGACCAGCACACAGGACAAATCGGCCACAGCCAGGTGCATCAGGAACACGTTGGCCGGGGTGCCTGACTTCTGGTCCCATATGAAAAGCCACAGAGCCAGAGAATTGCCTACAAAAGCTAGGATGAAATCCAGAAGGTAGAAGCAAGCAAAGATCATGTTCTCTAGGGGCGTCTCCTGTCCACATTGCTCAGAGTAAGCCAGGGAGGAGTTGTCAGTCAGACTTGGTAGGGCTGCCTCCAGGCCGTTCATGGTGTGGCTAAAGGCAGAACAGGGAACAGAGTTGGAGGGAATACAGAACCAGTTATGGGATCCCAGGATGCACTCCAAGGTCAGAGGCAAGGTCTCTGATGCCTTCAGACTCTCCTGGCACTAACTTGAGAGGAGCGGAGCTATTCTAAGCTTGGCATAGCTGCTGAACTCTCGTGACAGGATTTTCTGTGTCTGTTGGAGCTAGTTGAATCTTAGGCATGGTTCCTCCTGTGAGTAAGGAGGACCTGGGGTAATTGCTGGAAGACCCAGCACCTGGAATCTACCTTCTGCACTGTGCCTATTATCTGCTCCCTCAGGCCTATAGGGTGGAGTGAGTCCTGGAGGGAAAGAGAACCAGCTTGATAGTCTGGGCTTGTGAGGACAGAGAGAGCCATTATTTTGGTTACTAACCCCACCCCAAGGTAGGGGTAGCATTGTGTGTGTTGGGGTGGGGTTAGTAACCCCATAGGTGAGTATCCTCCCCATAGGTGAGTAAGTAGGATCTGTTGCTAAGAGCCTGGTGTTTGACACCCACTAGTCCTTTCGTGTTGGCTTGCCTGGCGCGCCTGCTCACTCTGAGTCCCATGACCTCCCTGAACTCTGACCTGGTCTGCAATGAGCAATAGGTCACTACTTTTTGCCCCACTACTTTTTGGCTCCTCCTATACTTGCTAGCAGGACTCCATCAGGGCTGCACTGGGCACACTTTCTGTCACGGCACCCGAGAACCCCAGTATCTCCCGAGTTTTCCACACTTAGCTGGTCAACTCCACTTTGTCCGGTTTTTTGGGTGAGAGCTGGGTTTAGGAAACCTTTGCCAGGGTCTCAGGCCAGCAGGGAGTCCCTTCCAAGCCGAGGTATTCCACAGCCCAAGCTAGGGTATGGGAGAGTCCTGCATCTTCCAGGATACTGTTTCACCTCTGGGGGCCAAGGGGACCCTGTGGCCAGAGCTGGGTGTGGCTCATGTCATAATGTGCTCTGGGGTTGCCCATTGTCCTTTGTGGGGCATTTCCAGGACTGGCTACCTAACTTTGGGGGCTCAGTGTAAAATGAAAATGCACAACCCCTGGCTCAAAAAGAAGAATTTGGGCTGGGTATGTAGCTTAGGTGGCAGAGTGCTTGCCTAGTATACATGAGGCCTTGGGTTTGATTCCCAGCACATAAACTGGGCATGGTGGCAAGTAGTTGTAATCCCAACACTTGGAAGGTGGGCAAGAGGTCAGAGTCATCCTCCATTATATAGAGAGTTCAAGACCAGCCTAAGCCATGGCTTTAACAAATAATGATAATTCTAAAAAGTAAGAATTTCAGGATCCTGGACATTGCTAAACAGCTCAGGGCCCCATGTAACTGCGTGGTGTCTCCACTCTGTCACTTCCACTCTGTCTCCAGGGGCTCCCCAGCCCTACCTGCCCACCCCCGCCCC